AGGAGACTTCTTTCTTTCTTTTACAGTAAGAAAACTGGGATTATTTTTGAAGCTTGAATTTTGGGGAAGAAATATACTAAGCAGTAAATAAATTGGGGTTGAAAATTGTTGTGACTACACCTGGTTTATTATTGTTCCTCTATTTTCCACCCTTCACCTGAACCTTTCTACGAGGTTCTAAATTAAGAGAAATTTTACAGATACTTTTGTCGAATTTTGAGACAGAAAATCAGTGCAGGAATAATTGAAAATAAAATTCATTATCAGTCTTCTTTTTCACTGAACCCAATTTTTATATTTGAATACTTGAAGATTATTTCTGGATTGGAATATCAACATCAAAAGTTTCAATTATTTAAATTGACAATTACGATTTCCCCGTTTTCATAGTGTACTTTTAATATTCTCTAACGAGGAAGTGGACTATCGGTTCTAATCGGAGGCAAATGGTATCAGGATGGCACAGCGCTGTCGACTTCCGGTTTACCAAGCGGTTGAAGTTTGATTGAATCTCTTTTACGAGATGGCGTAATATTTCCCGTTATCCGCGCAACAATTACGACTGTATTAAATAAATCCCCAGGGTACAGAATTGAAACCAGGAAGAGTTGAAAATCATTTCTGTCGTTAATTGTGAGAATTTTCGAAAGATAAATAATAAGAATTTGTTATGTAAAAATGGTGAATTCGTGGAAGGCTGTTCGGTGTCTAAAATAGTATGTCTGAATACGGTGTTTCGACACATCCCAAGGAAGAAATTATCGTGAGTTTACGCAATTTTATGTAAATTTGAATCTGGGTTTGTTGTGAATCGATAATCCATTGGGCCTAGTTACCGACATTTTTAGTTCCGTACTCGATCACCTACTGTCGCTGCTGTCGCAAAATTCCCAAGAAATCTTTCTACTAAATACATTTTTTCTTCTGAATATAAATTCTGTATAAAACGTACCAATTTTATTTTACTTCAGTTAATTGTGTGATGTATGTTCGAATCACTTTTAAGAATTACTGGATCTCTCTAAAATATTTAATATTTTTAACGAATGTTATAATAGATAAAATGTAAATATTACTTAAAAACTGTGAGTGAAATAAATATTTAAATATTAGCAAGAAGATTGTCCATTTTACGATTCACACGGTAAGTCGATAACAAAATCGAGGTCACTTCCGGCTTTCGTTCGTGAGACTTTCTTCAACATCAAATTGTACAAAATATAAATTAACTCGTTTAATAATTCATGATACATTCTTTAAAAAATCATTAAAACTTTCCTTGTATTACTTTCATAATACTCAATTTAATAATTTAGCCACAAAAACATTTGAACAAAACAGAATAACATAAAATTCGAACGATAGAATTACAGGAGTCAAAATAACATATGTTTCATGTTGTCTCACTAATATTTCCCGACTGCTTCCCCACTCTTTTTTTTAATAATAAAATAAATATTGGCATTCAAAAAATGTAGCAATCGTATTGGAGAGTCTACGAGCAGAGAACTCTCATTCAAGAATGAACGTCGAAATGTAAGCGTATCGTCTAAAAATACTGTTGGTGGGCCGAGGTGCGCCTAGCAACAGAGATTGCATAGAAGCATAACTATAGTGAACGTGCGTGTTTATACGTCGAGGCACAACAAGGACACGGGTTACGGGAAAAGGAGCCTGACGGACGTATCGATTCGTTTTAAAAACATTTTCAAAATTACAATCCGCTATTTGTACTCTAACAGAAGTAGAGTGTTTTGTGCATTTTTATTCTTTCGATTTTTATTTTTGTTCGTTTAGGTATCGGTGCTGGTAAGTACACGTATGAGTGGAATTGAAGAATGGAGTAAATTTGTGTTTGGAAATTTTGATGGGAATTTGGAGAGATGGGAATTTGGGAAAATGGGAATTTGGAGAGATGGGAATTTAGGGAATAGGGGATTTGGAGAGATGGGAATTTGGGGAGATAGGAATTTGAGAAGATGGAAATTTGGGGAGATGGGAAATTAGGGAGATGGGAATTTGGGAAGATGGGAATTTGGGGAGATGGAAATTTGGAGAGATGGAAATTTGAGGAGATGGAAATATGACAAGATGGAAATTTGGAAAGATGGGAATTTGGGGAGATGGAAATTTGGAGAGATGGAAATTTGAGGAGATGGAAATTTGGAAAGATGGGAATTTGGGGAGATAGGAATTTGAGGAGATGGGGATTTGGAGAGATGGGAAATTAGGGAGATGGGGATTTGGAGAAATGGAAATTTGGGGAGATGGGAATTTGGGGAGATAGGAATTTGGGAAGATGGGAATTTGGAGAGATGGAAATTTGGGGAGATGGAAATTTGACAAGATGGAAATTTGGAAAGATGGGAATTTGGGGAGATGGGAAATTGGAGAGATGGAAATTTGGGGAGATAGGAATTTGAGAAGATGGGAATTTGGAGAGATGGAAATTAAGAAAGTTGGAAATTTGAAGACTTGAAAATTTGGGAAGCCAGAAATTTGAAACCTTGAAATTCTGAAAATTTGAGAACTTCAAGCTCAAAAATTTGTGAAATAGTAAATCTTGAAAATTGCCAATAAAACTTGATAAATCCAAAAGTTCAGAGAACTCAGATTCAGAGAAAGGAATAAAATTCATCTACGATAAAATACAAAAGCATATTGTCCGGCCAACAGTAGATGTTTTATATGCACCTCTCGAGAACTGAGAGCGTGTGTCTACTGATAAATATTCAAAAAGGCACAGATTGCAGAAAGACACGTGCAGTTTGAAGTACAGTCCATTTTAGAAGCAACATTCACCTTCTGCTATCAATATTTCAAGAATGAATCTGTATTTATAAAAACATCGAAGAATACATTCGTTATTCGAAAACGTATCCATGACTGATTGTGGCCGCTTGAAGAAAGTGTCTGATTCACCAGAGAAATTCTTGCATAATTGCTTGACCTCGATTTTCAGTTGGTACAAGTATACTCGGCAATTTTAAAATTGAAACGATGTTGCATTAATTTTATGCATATTCTTTTCACCGCGTATATTGATCGCTAATAAATAATCGTAAAATTGAGTGATAAATATTATGAATTAAATATACAATTAAGTAAAATCGAAGCTGTATTTTATATTCAAGATGCAGAGACCTTGTATCAATATCCTTGCAAAAACGGGTGATCGCTTGCATTTGTCGCGTGTACTTATGCTAATTCGATATTTAAATGACTAGTACAATAACACACTGATAAAATATTGATACGAATTTAAAAAATCACGTTGAATATTTAAACTAATCTGGCGATATTTAAGTGATCAGTACAATAAGACTAGTACAATATTGATACGTCTTTAAAGAAATCTCGATATGATAAATCAGAAAGTTTCCAAAGGCAAAAGATAATTGATATTTAAAATGTCATTTGTATATGTAAATTCATCCCCATTGAAATTAAAATGTTCGTCAATATTTTCCTGTTTTCGCTGCGGAGAAAGGAAACACACAAAGGACGTGCATTTCAATGCGGCCGGTTTCAGAAAGAATCAAGAATAAAGTCAAAATGTCACTTACCAAATGGTAAATACACGAACACCTGCCTTCTTCTCAAGGCAGCCTCGAGTGGGCCTTCTTTTGCGTACACAGCTTCCGTTGCACCTGTCTCAATTTTTCTCGACAAACAGATTCTCTACCTTTCCCTCTTTTTCTCTCTTTGATCGCTGGAAAATTGCGGTGGGATTCAAGGATTTATGCTCTTTTTATGGGACGAGATAATTTAAAAGGGACAGTGAAGCAAGTTAATTATTCCTTTACATGAAACCATTTTTATGTGGAGTATTGAGATGAATTTTATTTGATTTCTGAGTGTTTAGATAACTGGTAGTGTAGTCTCATTATATGGCCGGGGAGCTGTGGGAGTTGGGGAGGTTTGGAAGTGGAAATGCGAGATTACTAGGTTATTTACAAGGATACCTAAATTTCTGAGTTGCTATATTTCCAAATTTCTAGCTCTCTAAATTTCCAAATTTCCAAATTCCCATCTCCTCAAATTCCCATCTCCTCAAATTCCCATCTCCCCAAATTTCCATCACTCCAAATTCCCATCTCTCCAAATTCCCATCTCCCTAAATTCCCATCTCCCCAAATTTCCAAATCTCCAGATTTCCATCTCTTCAAATTCCAATCTCTCTAAATTCCCATTTTCCCAAATTTCCATCACTCCAAATTCCCATCTCCCAAAATTCCCATATCTCCAAATTCCCATCTCCTCAAATTCCCATCTCCCCAAATTCCCATCTCTCTAAATTCCCATCTCCCCAAATTTCCATCACTCCAAATTCCCATCTCCCCAAATTCCCATCTCCTCAAATTCCCATCTCCCCAAATTTCCATCTCTTCAAATTCCCATCTCTCTAAATTTCCATCCCCCCAAATTACCATCTTCTCCAATTCCCAACTCTGCAAATTTCCTTCTCCCCAAATTCCCTACTCACCAAATCCCTTCTTAAATCCCCAAACCCCATATCTCCAGATTCCTACATCCACAGGTCTTCCCATCTCTTACTCTTAACACATTCCTATATTCCTTAATTTCCTATAATCCCAAATTTGAGTCCTCAGGTTCCAATATCTCCAATAACAATAACACAAAAAATTACCAAAATCATCACCTCACCAATTTTCACCTTACACAAGTTATACAGTAATAATACAAACTCAGAAAAAGTATAATCCAGAAGTAAAATATTCCAACACAATTGTAAATTAATATACAAACAATGCAACGCAAGAGGTAGGTTAAAAGAAAAGATACAAATATTCATTCTATTTTTTTTTTTAGATAATTCGTTTTTTTAATAAACATAGGCATTCACTTATGTAGGTTAGTTCTTTAGACTCTCTTACGATTACGGTTTATATATAATAATATTTATATTTATATATTGTCGTTACACATAAAATTTTTCTTACGCAAAATACCAACTGGAAGTGAGGCACTGGGTGTTGTATTTTCTGCTTCCTTTTCTTCAACATTCACTCGCACAGACTATCATCGTCCACTCGACTCTTTCATACTCCTTTTTTCTTCTTTTTTTTTTCATTTTTTTTTTCTGTTTTTCTTACCGAGGCTTTACGTCACGTTTGGGAACGCACATACACGTCTAATATACTTATTACAAATAAGAAGTACACGCTAAGTTACGTTTACTGAGATCATACTAATACATCACAGGGTTACATAGACGTAAAGAATTATTCTCTTTTACTATTTTTTCCTTTTTTTTTTCTTCCCTTTCGTTTGATTCCCCGATGGCAGACTGTGCTCTGATCCTTTCAGATCTAACGAGATTCTATAGTCGTTCGATTTTTCGTCTTCCTTTTTGGTTTCACACACTGTAAGATTATTTTCTTCCACTGGTTGATCGTCGCGTTTCGAATTCGAAAATCTTACTGCTCGAAACCGTTTCTTGTTTCAATCTTTTTATCTGGATGTTTTCAGAACCTTTTTAATCACCGTGATTCAGATTTTATTGCTTCAAAACGTGCTTTTGAAATAAAGATGCCTATACAAGCGATTATAAAATATGGACACTGAAATCCAAATACTGATAAATAAATCTAACATCAAAATTTCGACAAAATACCTTCGAGTGTCCAGAATTAAGAGTTTTACTGAATCAGATGTACTGAAACAAGAGGTGGGTCAACGAGACCCTGTCGAGGGATAAAAAGGTTCCTTAAAATAGTTGGCACAAACGACCATAAATACCATCGACTCAATAGCACACTTCGCCCGTGTGAACGACGAAAAAAAATAGCTTGTAACCACCAGTCGTATTTCTGAATGATAATCTCATTGTAAAAGGGAGGGATGAGAAAGAGAAAAGTGAAATTGAGGAAAACACAGGGGGTGAGGGGTACTTCAAGAGGTGTATGGCCTTCGACCAAATTATCGTAAACAAAAAGAAAAAAAAATGTTGTAATAAATCAGCTACCATTAATAAAATCATACCATTTAAGATATACAATTATACATTTTACATTTAAACGCATCGACGAACAAAGAAGGTTTCGTTCGAGAAATCTGTGCTTTTGTTGATAAAAAAATAAAGAAATGTAATCCGCGTAATTTCACAGGTAACCGTTCGAAGAACTCCGGAAGCCACGCGTATGATTTGTACTCTACTAAAAATGCTCGATTACTTCCGGTATACCGTGATGCGCGCGAATTTCGAAACAAACAAAGATAAATCTGCCTCTTCCGCGGAGAACTTTGAACGGTTTTTTCTCACGCAATTACCATTCAATGCCTATAAGTCTGATCGTAAAAAAAAAAACGTTTAAAAAAGAAACGAGATGCAATGGAAATAAACAGATGCAAAAAGAGCCCATTGAAAAGCGAAGATTGCGTTCGCGGTACACATTTACAAATATATACAATAATTTCCTTGAAATTCATTGCCGACGATATAAATAATGATCCTGATTATCTTCCATTTCGTACAGTTTCGAATTTTGCAATCCTCGCTTCGGCTTTTCGGATGCTTAACACTTTGAAGGTCGTTTATGTTACTCTTTAAGAATACCGATAAAATTACTGTGCGAACTTTTTATAATTTACCTTGCTGGTTTTGCCTTGAGACGGAGTTAAAAAGCGTACTATCAAAGTGTTAAGATTTAATGGGTAGCGATGAACCTTGTGCCGAGTACCTAGATACGTTTTGAAACTTAGAGATTCTGTACATTTAAGAATTTACAGATAGGAAAATTCAAGATTTTGCAATTTTAAGAATATAGAAAATTGTAATGGGTACTCAACCACCCACTGAAGCTGTGATACTTAATTCACAAAGTTGTAATTCAAAACATTAAAATTTTAGAAGTGTAGACAATTTTTAATGGGTCAACTACCCCACTGAAGCTCTAATACTTAATTTGCAAAAGTTTCAAATAATTTTACTTTGAAAATTTTTTATCTGGATATAAAAGTACCTGGCACGAGGGTTCAAAGGAAGGGGAGAAGAGGAAAATGAGAAAGATGGGAATGAAGGAGAGCCAAATACGATACAGGTTCATTCAAAGGTAAGAACAAGAAAATCGCGGGGTGATTTGGCATCGGCTGTACTTTCTTAATGTCGTACAGGAGATCAATGCTTAAACATGGGTAACGAGCTGTAACCTAAATCATATCTTTTTCCCCATTTATCAATCTCGAGATTGGTCTCTTTTTACAGTAAAAATTGATGTACATTTCGCGGCCGTTTCAAGGACACTGTCGAAACTACCGCGAAATTTGTAGGATTTTAGAAGTCCGTGGATCTCCAACGAGGAGGAAAGGTCATTGAAGATTCGCGGAATGTTTTGCAAAGCCGAAAAATTCGAAGACCAAACTCGAAGAGAAACTGCACTTACTACCTAATATCTTCCTTAAAATCTATAGGTATCCTAAAATATATTTATATATTTCTTGTCTCCTTACGCTCATAATTATGTATGTACGACATCATTCATCCTTGATTCGTTTCAGTGTCGAACGAACAATATATTACATTAATTTCGCTCTTTTTCGCTTTATATACAGGGTGTGTAATTGGCGCAAATGAAGGTGTGAGTCTACCTGGAAATATCAGTCGATTTAAAGATTTTTCGTATGGGGCTTCCTTTTGAAGTTATTAATTTTTAACGTGCTTCTATGAGGAATAGAAATAAGACAGAAATTAAAATGAATTTCAAGGAGTCTGAAGACTATTGTAATTCCTGGTGTTGCTGTTGTAAAGAAAACCACATACAAAGTACAGTTTTGCAATGGTGTAACCAGTATTATTCTTTTATTAAGACATTTCCAAAAGCCATTTGCTATCCCAGTTACGTCAGTGCCTCCGACTAATTTTTTCAAGTAGCATCACCGATTACCTCACACCCTGTATATCTAAGGTGTCCCACATTTCTCCCAACAGAACAAGAAGCGTACAAAATCCTCTAAATGCCTCGTTACAAAATTAGAAACCTCTAACACCTATCCAAAACCAGCAGCTTCTACTTGTAACAAAAGATTCATGTGCAGCTTTCATACAACAATCTTGCTTTTATAGGAAAAACATGAGACAGCATATAACCTAAACGTTATTCTCTCTATCCTAATACAAAAGATACGGACACGATGAATTACACATATGTATATATAAAAAAAAAACAAAGAAAAAAAAAGAAAAGAAAAGATAGCAACAACCACGTTGTTTCTTTTGTCCATTGTATCTGGTCGTTGTTATCGGTTGTTGTTGCCGCTTTGTAATTTCCGTACCACGATTACGAAAGTGTTAGAACGAAAAACGTTACTGTTATCATGCGTTTTCGTTACTTCTTTTAAATTTCCCGCCATGGTGCATGGCGGATAAATCTAAACGTGAATGGCACAGCCAACGGACCTAGCGCGTTCTCCTCTGCCACAGAGCTTTTCTTCGTCTTTCTCCATTCCTCCTGGCAGCGATGCGTTTCCGGTCCGAACTTGATGGAAGAAGACGTCGAGGCTGAAGGAGGAAACTTCGAGGCTCTTAGCTACGTATTTGACCCGCGTTACGGGCGATCTTCTCCGGCGGCTCTATCATGCTCTTCGCGCTACCGTTTAGGCTACGTTTACGACTCTTCATGTAGTCTGAAAGCACACACAAACGAAAAAAACATGTATATACGTGCGCCACATACACAGGTACGGGTTATTTTTCGACCTTGTTATCTTCGGGCGATTGAATTTAATTGCAAAATTCGAATGATACCGTAATCGCAGTGAACACGGGACGCGACACTTTGTCAATATTAGAATAACGTTCATGATAAATTGATGAAACACATAAGTCAATAATAGAAAATTATATTAATTGCTCATTTTCAACTTATTTCGTTTACCAATACATTCCGAGTGTTGTGTTTAAAAATATTCGTGTTGCCAAGCACAAAAACGCAAACATATTTTGAAACAAAGCGACTCTTTACAGGTTCCAAAACGTGCAAACAGAAAAAGAATCGAATAAGATTAGCGGTTATTGATCTCTTCAATGTCAAATATTAAATATGGAATATCTGCAACTACACGTGTATTAAAAGCAAAATCAAAAGGTGAAACCTATGCCATCTGTACCCACATTTTCATACAGATCGATAAGTTACCTCAGCTACGTTTCGCAGAAACTCGAAAGAATTGACAGAACACGAAACAGTTTTAAATCCGAACGTTTTTTTAATTTTTTTAATCTTGCGCGGGAAATCGCTTGAACGATAACCCCGCGAATATAATAATAATCGACTCACGGTGCCCGTTAATTATATCGGTGGTAGTAGATAAGATAAGGGCGAATCATCGCAAAGTTCGTTAGGGGCTTAAAGCGTGCCACAACGGAAGAAAGAAAGGTGGAACGCGGGAGATGCATGCAATTTTGTTCCTCCTGTACGTTGTTTGCGAACCTTTAATGAGTCACGATATAGGAAGCGTGCACAAAAACACAGTATGCGACGGTCTGATACTCGTAATCATGACTCATGTCGTATATTCGTTGTAGGAGCCACAACGAATTTCCCGCCACCCCTTTTCACCATTTGGCGAATTTCCACGGGGAAAATTCGGCGCATCTGTTCGATTTCCCTGGGTCCCTTTTCTAAGCGCGATGCCACGCGACAGAAATTATGGAGATTGCGGGGGAACAGCTGTGCCAACGATCATAAACCCTCTTCTGATCTCACGACGCAGCTTTTCGTTAATTCCGTAGAGGGATTTCTAGTTAACCTTTATTGTGATGTTTATCTCTCTTTGGTATCAAGCGCTGAAGCACTACTTTTTACGCGGGATTTTCAACTTTGTATGTAATATAATATTAGACCGTAACGTTTAAATTAATAAAAGTATCTCAAGCTAAATAATTTTGGCAATTCGAGGAAAGTCTATGATAAATATTACTCTTGCTATTTTCTACAATTGCACAAAATTTGAGACAAATCAAGCTGAAGACTGCGCGCTCTTACTTGCAACTGCGCATGCGTGCGCGCATGCGCCTTCAGCCCGCCACGCCGGGAAATTTCAATTTCAACGCATTGATTACCATGAAGGTTACCGGCGTTCGACGTTCTTTACTTCACAATTTTATGTACTTTTATTTGTCGCATCTCTTCTTTCTTTTACAATCTTATAATTCATACTAACTACTTGGATACGTGATTATTTCTTCAAAAATCGAAGAAAGCAAAAAGGGTACGTTCGCAGGGAAGGCGTGCAGGCTTCATCTTTTTATTCAATAACTACCGCACAAAATAACTGGTTTCACGTTTCTCAATTTAAACTACACAATTTTCTTAACGACTTTTTTCAGAGAATTTGTACACAGGAGTTAATGTTCCATCTTTTACTCATTAAGTTTTTGCTTCATTTTTAGTATACATCGAACATTGATATTATTAGCAGAAAACGAATTTGTGGATGTGATACGAAGGGAATAACGTGGTAAACAAAAGCTAGAAGTGTCGGCAATTTGCGAATGCGTTAAAGCAGCATGCGGGTTAAAATCGTCGCGTCGAGCAATCACGATTTTAAATACCGATCGTACATCCACCCCAGTTTTCGAGGGATGCGATTGTGAGCACAGCTGATACCCCCATGCGTACAACGCGCAGGAGGCGCACGCGTGAACAAAAGCTGATGCGATCCCAAGGGGTGCACGGAAGAGAAAACGTACGGGGGTGCGACCCAACCCCATATGGACTGTACAGCTGACCGCGTGGCTCATTAATAACGTACGTTAGGAAAATCAGTCGGCGCCCCCATACTCACGGTTGAATCGAGAGTACGTTACACGCGTGCTCGTTCTCCCATATACTAGAAACTGGTCGAACGGGGAGAATTCGGGCCTCACGTATCGAAAGATCAAAACGCGCCTGGTGTATCGATCCAGTTAATCGAATGGCGAGGCTATCGTACGATATTATCGTCAAATAATAACGGTTACAGTCACGCGCAGCACGTGACCGAGTCTATTACCTGTACGGAACGAGCGTTCAAGATAGAACGCTAATTAAACGTTAGCCGACTTTCAATTAAGTAATTATAACAAATATCGTGTTTCTAATTATTACTTTTAATTCGCTCTGTTTACGGGTGATTATTAAGACCTTCAGGATTTTCTTGGACCGTTATTGCACTATCTACTTGGTACAAAAATACTTCCTCTCTTCCCTAGAAAAATTAGAAGATATTTCTTCACTGATAACGCTGATAACGCAGCAAAACAATTAATTTCTCCTGTTTTTGTAGAAACCGATTACTCGATACTAGTAGACGTAACGACCAAAACTAATCGCCCTTGTCTGTATCGGTTTTTCTCTAATTGTTCATGCATTTCTTGCGTACTGCGGTGCAAACGTGGACAAGAAAACTCAACGAATAAACAAAACCATAGTCGCGTGCTCTAATGACGCAAAATGTGTTTACACGCGTGTAAGAGATGCATGCATGCGAGACACATGAGGAGTCACATCCAGAAATAGTCGCGTCGCGTGGGTGGTGTGCACAGCCGAATAATAAATAGGCGAAAAAAATGGGGGGAAATAGACTGAGAGGTGTAGGCACGAACAAGATGGCCGGGTACGCGAGATTCGAACGGGACACGAAAAATCTCACGCCGGGAGACAGCTCTCGTGAATATTTTCTGTCGTAAAGAAAAAAATATATTCGGACACACGGACGACTCTACTGCTTATCGCCACAGTTTTGGAGACTTCCGCAATTTATAAAAAGTTGACTTAATTAACACGTTATTTGTGGACAGTGATGACGTGGTATTACGTCCTCGCATATGTTGGAATATTTTTAGGAATTTCTTGCAATTGCGAGGCTTCGATACAATGGGAACGCAACCTCGAATAATATGACCGCTAATATAATTTACTACCGAAGAGAAAAATTTGGGTTCTAACATGCAGAAATGTTTGGCTAATCGGCACATGAATTACAAATAATATTTATCGTTATGTCATCCTTGTTTACGCACGATTGCGTTGAATTATCGATATGCTTATCCGTGACAAATAAAAAATATAAAAGACACATTTGCAGCCAAATTATATTTCGCACTTTGTCATCGAGAACGATAGCACGATAGTTTATCTATGGTAGGAATATTTTTATTGTTCGTAATCCGTTTGTTTGTTAGAAATCTAGCGGAGATAATGGTCGAAGATATTTTCTAGGAACAGAAAAATTTCGAAAGTATAATTCGATAAGAGAACGGGTTCAATTCATTCTTTTTATCAGGTGCTTACGTAATTACGTAAATTGCAACGACCTTGCCGGTCGGCGAATTAGAATGACCTAGGCTATATGCTTCCCGTATAAATAATGCCAGACAATTTGGACAATGCGCGCGTCGATCGAGCGGAATAATTCAGGAAATCTCGTGTTTGCAAAGCATTGCGTAACATTACGCGCGATATAATGAACAGATTAGCGTTTTTAGTGGCCGAAAAAAAGTATACAACCACGATATCGTAGGCATCTCGTTTCTTTTCGACTTTGGGTGAAAGGAAGCAAGAGCGCAACACAGAAAGCCATTGTTTTGAATGTAGTAAAATTACAACGCAGAAAAAGGGAATAGAAGAAACGTGGAAAACACTTATCGATACCGAGAGCAACCGGTTCAACTTGAAAACAAGCCGTTCATTCACGAACGAGCAGTTGGTCTTTCTCGTTAACCCTTTTTTACTAGAATTTTCTATGTTCGAGAAAAATGATGGAGCGCTTTCAAAGATATTTCTATGCGGTAATAAAATTTGGATACAATATGTACACTGTTTACATTTATACTCTAAGCGTTGTAAGTCGCTTGTTAGGCATGCAAGTCATAGTGCATAATAGAAAAAGAGAAGTTTAGAATCACTGATTAATAGTACTGAAATAGCGCCGGTAACATAAAGTTGAAAATATTGGCATACTAATAAAAAGAAAAAAATAAGAGGTATCGCTTACCGGTAATGGTGGACTGTTTCCTCGTGGATAAAACAGGGGTAGTTGGTTCGACGATATACATCTTCTTGTCCGCGTCAAAGTCGAACATGTCGTTCATGGTCACTTCTCCGATCTGCGGTACTCTGGGTTCCTGAGGTGGCGTTCTCTCCGTTTTCTGGAGGATCGGAGTCTTCGGAGATTCTTTACGGAGGATTTTCATGGTGGGCGAGGAATCCCGTACTTTTCTAGGCGTGCTAGGCGCGTGTTTCCTTAAGTAGGGCATACCTCGTAGGGCATAGGGTTCAGGCACCACGTCCTGCGACGTGACCAGTTCCCACTCATACCTCGAGTTGGCTTTAGGTATCTCCAAGTGAAAGTCGAATCCCCATCTCTCGGCGTCGAGCATCGATTGAGCGGTTAGAAATCTAGCGGAGATAATGGTCGAAGATATTTTCTAGGAACAGAAAAATTTCGAAAGTATAATTCGATAAGAGAACGGGTTCAATTCATTCTTTTTATCAGGTGCTTACGTAATTACGTAAATTGCAACGACCTTGCCGGTCGGCGAATTAGAATGACCTAGGCTATATGCTTCCCGTATAAATAATGCCAGACAATTTGGACAATGCGCGCGTCGATCGAGCGGAATAATTCAGGAAATCTCGTGTTTGCAAAGCATTGCGTAACATTACGCGCGATATAATGAACAGATTAGCGTTTTTAGTGGCCGAAAAAAAGTATACAACCACGATATCGTAGGCATCTCGTTTCTTTTCGACTTTGGGTGAAAGGAAGCAAGAGCGCAACACAGAAAGCCATTGTTTTGAATGTAGTAAAATTACAACGCAGAAAAAGGGAATAGAAGAAACGTGGAAAACACTTATCGATACCGAGAGCAACCGGTTCAACTTGAAAACAAGCCGTTCATTCACGAACGAGCAGTTGGTCTTTCTCGTTAACCCTTTTTTACTAGAATTTTCTATGTTCGAGAAAAATGATGGAGCGCTTTCAAAGATATTTCTATGCGGTAATAAAATTTGGATACAATATGTACACTGTTTACATTTATACTCTAAGCGTTGTAAGTCGCTTGTTAGGCATGCAAGTCATAGTGCATAATAGAAAAAGAGAAGTTTAGAATCACTGATTAATAGTACTGAAATAGCGCCGGTAACATAAAGTTGAAAATATTGGCATACTAATAAAAAGAAAAAAATAAGAGGTATCGCTTACCGGTAATGGTGGACTGTTTCCTCGTGGATAAAACAGGGGTAGTTGGTTCGACGATATACATCTTCTTGTCCGCGTCAAAGTCGAACATGTCGTTCATGGTCACTTCTCCGATCTGCGGTACTCTGGGTTCCTGAGGTGGCGTTCTCTCCGTTTTCTGGAGGATCGGAGTCTTCGGAGATTCTTTACGGAGGATTTTCATGGTGGGCGAGGAATCCCGTACTTTTCTAGGCGTGCTAGGCGCGTGTTTCCTTAAGTAGGGCATACCTCGTAGGGCATAGGGTTCAGGCACCACGTCCTGCGACGTGACCAGTTCCCACTCATACCTCGAGTTGGCTTTAGGTATCTCCAAGTGAAAGTCGAATCCCCATCTCTCGGCGTCGAGCATCGATTGAGCGCGAAGTTCCCGTTCTGCCAATGCACGAGCCGCGGCGTGATCGACGGGTCCAAAAAGGTCCCTTCGAACACGGGCAAGGGCTGCTCTGCTCGGCACCGTTCGTCCTCCACCTAGATTCCTACTCATTTCCGTCATCATCACCGGATTCAACACTCGTGCGCTCATATTTCGTTAGTCTTTTCGCGTCGGCAACGTCGCCGTCCTCCTCGCAGTTACCAATAACTAACCACTCTGTTTTTTTCACCGGCAAAACAGCTTCCCTTTCCACTCGTCCAAAGTCGAAACTTCGTTCAGCGTATTTTGGTTCGTGTTGTGTTGTCGATCCGGGGCACACCGGTTCACACGAAACAACGTTCAAAATCGTTTTTTTTACGCACCGTCTCGTTTACGGAGATGATTCTTCCAGGAATCGTCCATAGAACGTTGAAATACTCGCGGCTCGCGAAAACGTGGCAACGTTGTCGTGGCGCGACCCACCGAATTTCGAATGGCCGTGCTTCTCAGCGTCGCTTCGCGACTACGTTACTCGTTCACTCGCTTACGGACGCGACCGACACTTTGCGACGATGATTTTTCACGGCACACATCCGTGAATCGGCGGATATATCTCGAGACGGAGTATACACACCATCGATGAGCGTGCACGACGAAAACGGAAAGTTTGGCAACACGGTGAACACGCTATTGCGCACCACGGAGCGAGAGACAAGATATCAAAACAGCGGTGATAAATATCTCCGGCTTTCTCACGGTTCGGTACATAGTTTCACGGTTGCCAATGTTTAAGTAACTGTCAATGATCGTGTAGTAAAATTTCCTTTCAGCAATTCTTTTTGTTTTCTTCACGAATTGATCGCCATAGCCCGCGGGAAGAACGATCCGGCAACGTTGCACGCACTTGCGCGTGAGTCTCCAAGCGTGTGTTTCGATGTGTGTTCCCGCTAAGATTACGAGGTTGTTTTTCAAGATTCAAAACCGATCGCTTGGCGGTCCTTTGCCTTCACGATGATCACGGGTCCGTGTTAGATGATGCACAAACATGTATCACTCTCGAGATCGGCACAGAAAATAATATTTCACGGTAAACGTTATTGCACACGGCCCGAAAGCACCAATATGCTGTCCGCGAACACGGTGGGGAGCCACTGGAACGAGTTCGATACCGCGTACGATCGAAACGAAAACGGTATCGCGATTCCCGCCAAACACACGACTGTCAAGACACACGCGTGGTTCCAAGTTCGGCGGAAGGTCGTATACGATTGCGCAGTTACGTTAACGCTGACGAGGTGCGTGCGTGCTCTGCAGCTCGCGGAGTTGCGCGAAGACACGTTCTATACGGTTAAAGCGCTCTCTAGCGACTGAAGCGTGCGCCTCTCGCTGCAAGCGACCAAGCCTCCGGTCGGCTCGGTCTTTTTCGGTCGTGCTCGGCTCGCGTTCGGCTGTCACCCCTTTTCCCTCGCTGCGAAGAAACGAAATAACCGCCATTTGCACAGTATAGTCCGTTCGACTCAAGCGCAACACTCGGAGCTTTGAAAATACGTACGTCCGAGATGGTTGTACAGTTATTGGCCCCTTCCACGGCAACATAAACGAGCAGAATGCTGATCGTAACCATTGGACGCGTCCCAGTATGCCAACCTCTGCGCTGGGTATCTTCCAACTCTGCTTCTCTGCGTTGGACGCGCTACCGAGAAGTTAGAGGTAGCACCACGCATTTCCTCTTTTTTTTCATGCTTATCCCTTCGCGTCAAATTCAGCAACTCCGTTCATCTGACCGTAACTGGAGGCTCCATGAAAAATTCTGCTTTCGTAATGATTATGTCTCTATATCTTGCGAATCTGGTACTTATGGTACTTGACGAAAACTGCACCATTAATCATTGAGTGCTTCGTTTTCAAATCTGGGTATTCATCTACATTTCTTCTTGCTTCATGAAGTTCATGGATAAATTTGTACGAACGAAAAATAACTAAAACGAAAGAAAAGAAATAAAACAGGTTGTGTTGTCAAAGGGGCGAGAAATAAACAAGTCCAACTTTCAAAACAACGGCTGTAATCTTATCACGGACACTCGTACGTGCGTTTATTCGACGGATTTCTATGTTTGCACGGCAATACGTTACGCACGGTGAATTTATTTGCATATTATTCGGATTATCGTCAACATTTATTTTAACTGATAGAAGCTATTATACTCGAACACCATTGGTTACAATTAAAATGCTTCCAAAACCTGAACGCGAAATATTATCTCGTACTAATAATTTGGAAAGGTGAAAAGCAAAAAACCAGACGAAGCATATTTACTTATACCGTATTTATATGCAAATGAATTTATTGCATTGGTCGTCCTTTGCCTCTTTTCCATACTGCAATTTACATTCTTAAGTTGTTTATCCAACGAAATTTTGTTCAAGCCAGCAAGCTAATTAACAAATCTTGATTTATTAAATTTTATGTGTTTCGCAATTGACGCTGCTCGAGCTGCAGCTGTTTGCGTTCAGACACCGTTAGGGATACGAGATCAACAAGGCGAATCGACACTTTTCAATGATAATTGTCAATTTACCTCGTTGCTGTTCTCGTGGCCTGAATCGTTTATGTGCCTTCTGTAAAAGGCAACAGGGAAATGGTTTTCTATCGTGCACGAGATAACTCGCGTCGAGTAAACTGTACGCAGACGAACGTCACGACCAATCAGAGCGCGCGTTCGCCACGTACGCTCAACGGTGTTAGTGTATGTACGCGTTCGACGCAGTATGGCTGACCAAATGGCGCCACTGTGCGGGCGCGCGAAACTTTCGAACGTTTGAATTTGTTGGGGTCGGAAAACAATTATATCTTCGGTTCTTTTAGTTAGAATTGTAAGTTAGACTGATAGGATAAAAGATATGGAAAGGTTTGTGATGGAGTTGAGGAAAGATTTTTATTTGGATTGACTTTTGGAGTTGGAAGGTTGGTGATTTAACGATTGGAAGAGTTAGATATTTGGGGATTTAGGGATTTGGTAGAGTTAGGAATTGGGGGATTCAAAAATTCAGAGTTCAAAATTCAAGTTTTGGAGGCTAGGAATTTGGTAGAGTTAGAAATTGGGGGATTCGAAGATTTGGAGTTCAAAATTCTAGTTTTAGAGGTTAGGGGTGTAAGAATTTGGGAATAAGGTCTTGTGGATATTTCGGAAGTTAGAGATTAGGGTTTTAGCAATTTAGGGGGTCGAAAGGGGTTCGTGGAATGAAAATTTTGGAAATTTGTGGTTTGGGGGATTTAGGAATTTCAGTAATTAAAAATTTTGAAGTTCAGAGACTTAGAACTTGGGTGATGTGAGAATTTAGTGATTTGGGAGTTTGAAATTAGGTGGATTTATAAACAGTCTCCTAGTTATCCATCATTTAAAGAAATGGCCGATAATTTTAAACGATGGCGAGTAATTAGAATTGTGCAAACAATCATAGAAAGACGAAGTAAAGATTCTCATGAGAGGTGTGGGCCAAGTGTTGTGGGAAATGAAAATCCCACGCAATATTCCGGAAGTGGTGAGGGTGGCACCGGATGCATCTCAATGAAGGGGAGAACGAGCGAATGAGTCGCGTAAAACAATCCTTTTTGCAGAGACTGTGCCGTCGTCTCTCTTTCATCTGCGGTTAGGTGTAGGTACCCGTTTAGCAAGGTATTTCGTTGCACAGGTGTTCTCTCATGGCTTGTCGTGGACGAAGGACGGAAAATAAACACCGTTTCCTTCTATATAGCGTCATCTCCCCTTGCTTGGATCTACTCGACGATGAGCCGTCTAGATTATTTATCAAGGAAACCCGTGTTTATACAACCTGCATAGAAGAGACGGCCGGAAGACGCGTGGCTGCATCTGCGTCCGCGTGTTTACCAACGACCGGAGTCACCTGTTTCATCGTTCGTAGAATTTTCGCTATCAAATCCGTGTTTATCGTCGGTTTTATATTATCTCGTCGCGTGCACACTATAAAATGAAAATGCAACGGTGACGAGTCACTTTTTGTCAAGGCAAGATCGCGGTTACCATCTCGCGAGTTTATGTCACGGTCTTTTAATGTTCTTCGGGATGCTTCATCGAAAAAATTGTCAGCTGTTTTACTACACTTGACAGTTTCATGATTATAAATTCTACGCAACTACTGACTCTTTTAACTTCTTTAGAAATATATCAGTTTGAGTATGCTGTAGAATTACATTAGCACGCTGTAGAATTTTATAAGTTCAACTTGATGGAGTAAATAAAAATTCAAAATGGGGAAAGTTGTAATCACGGAAATGTTTAAATAATTTTTGTATAAAGAGACGTATCGATAGATGACCTTCAGTCTCGTTAACGTTGATTGAAAAAGAAAGTTCGTCAAGTTGGAAAGGTTCAATGGTCCGGTGGAACAATGAAGCTGGTGCACGTTGTACGCCAAATATCTTTTGTCGTAGTCGCGATTGTGCCCACTTCCGTGGGAATTCGCGGAACGGAAGTGCAATTTCTGGCAATGGGGTACACCACCATCGTCGTGACCAGCTTCCATAGTACGAGCAACGCGAAGAAAGAGAAAAATAAAAAAAAAAAAGAAAGACGAATCAACGATTCTTCAGAAGCGATGCCAGGTGCATGAGCTGCCTTCTCACGAGAACTCGAGATTAATTTTAAGAAATCGTGATACTCGTGGAATCGGTCGAGATTGCTTTCGGAAGAAAAGCAAAACAAGTTAAATGGTAGCTTAATGCCATTCTGTAATTAGAGAACGTGTGAACATTTATGTAACGTGGGTTTCTGTCTGTAGGGGCTGAATCGCCACGCATGAACCGTGTAGGTAGAAATTCGGGTTTTAGGAAATTGGGAAATTGAAAGTTTGGAGGTTTTGGAACTGGGGAGATTTGGAAATTCGGGATTTTTGAAGGTTAGGAAATTGGGACATTTTGGAATTTGGGTGATTGGAAGTTTGGAAATTTGGAAATTCGGGGTTTTAGGGAATTGGGAAATGGGAAGTTGGGACATTTTGGAATTTGGGAGATTGGAAGTTTGGAAATTTGGAAATTTGGGATTTTAGGAAATTGGGAAATTGGAAATTGGAACATTTTGGAATTTGGGAGATTGGAAGTTTGGAAATTTGGAAATTCGGGGTTTTAGGGAATTGGGAAATGGGAAAGTTGGACGTTTTGGAATTAGGGAGATTAGAAGTTTGGAAATTTGGAAATTCGGGGTTTTAGGGAATTGGGAAATTGGAAGTTGGACGTTTTGGAATTTGGGGGATTGGAAGTTTGGAAATTTGGAAATTCGGGGTTTTAGGAAATTGGGGATTGGAAGTTTGGAGGTTTGGAAATTGGGGATGTAGAAGTTTCAGCTATTAGAAAGTTGGACGTTTTGGAATTAGGGAGATTAGAAGTTTGGAAATTTGGGATTTTAGGAAATTGGGAAATTGGAAATTGGAACATTTTGGAATTTGGGAGATTGGAAGTTTGGAAATTTGGAAATTCGGGGTTTTAGGGAATTGGGAAATGGGAAGTTGGGACATTTTGGAATTTGGGAGATTAGAAGTTTGGAAATTTGGAAATTCGGGGTTTTAGGAAATTGGGGATTGGAAGTTTGGAGGTTTGGAAATTGGGGATGTAGAAGTTTCAGCTATTAGAAGTTGGGACATTTTGGAATTTGGGAGAATAGAAGTTTGGAGATTTGGAAATTGGCTTTAGAATTTTTAAAAATTGTAAATTTGATCATCTTGGAATTTGGATGATTAGAAGTTTGGAAATTTGGAAATTGTGGATGTAAAAATTCCACAGACTGGAAGTTTGATCACTCCAGAATTTCTAAGATTAGAAGTTAGGAAATTTGAAGATTGAAAATTTAAAAGTTTCAGAGATTGAAAGTTTCCCAGTCTGGAAGTAGGGTATTTAGAAATTTAGCAGAGTTAAAATTTAGGTTTCCAACGTATACGAACGAAACTTGAGTTGTGAACTTAATTAAGACTTGCGAATTTGTGAACTCGAAGAATGGGGTTTGAAAGGAATATCTCATAATTGAATTGTAATACTCTTTAATTTCTTTTTCGTAGCAACAAGCATTTAGTACCGAGTGAAATATACTCCGTAAGATGCACCCAACAGATGCGTCATTCTGGTGTCTAGAAATTAGGTCGTGCATTCTCGAGCCATATGCTCGAGTCCAATTGGTCCGTATGAATCTTATAATTGCAGCTGTTTTATCAACGTAAGCCGGGTAAAAGAAAGTAACATCAACCATTGATTTATAAATTGATAGATAAATATATTACTTTAAAAAGAAAAATAAAGTACAAAATCGCCGTATAATTTATTTGCATTATAATATCATTCGTTAGTCGATCGTGTATTGCACACACATTGAATAAATATATTAATACCAAGTTAAATAATCGTTGTAAAAATGATATAAAACTACCTATAAATAATACGATAACAAATATCACGTTTTTTAATCGAATTGTTAAAATTTTCTTGTTTAAAAAATAATATTGTCCCTTTGGTTTACTAGCACTGCGGACATTCGATACCGTTCAGTCTGACTAGACGTCTAATAACAGGCTAATAAGCCTTTAACTTCGATTCTCAATTCACAATCATCGACTTGCAACGTTAATTTCACTAAAATGTCCTTCTGTTCCGATCGAATGAGTAAATTCTCGGTTTTCACGACAAAGGATGTCACGTAACGCGTCTCACGTACTGTCAGTCATGTTCTCGCCATCTCTGTCCTCCAAGTGTTCCTCCATCGTAACGTCGTCATCCTGCGTGTCCTCTTCCTGCATCGTTCGCAAATTTTCTACTCGATTGCTCGACTCTAAAGGTGTACTGATTTCATTTCCGTGTTCGTCAAGCTTCACCCACATGTAACGACCGGGTAGTGGTTCTTCCTTCTCGAAATCAAAGTTCCAGCGCTCCTTAGCCTGTGCACAAAACCGTGATATTCAAACTGGGGACAGATCATTAACAATTTCAAGTTAAAATTCTTAGGACACTACTTAGCAACAATTATTTTATTCCATCTCTAATTTTAATATTTACTCTGATTTTATTTTTATTTTTAATTTTAATTTTATTATCTAATAGCTAGGATTTCTGGTTGGTATGAGATAGGTACATTCCCTGTTACATAGCAGTCTTTTCTAGATATACGAGGTTGTATAAGTTTGTTGAAATTAATTACGTTTTGTCTATTTTTCCGAGCCTCCTCATAGAAACAGTTTGCAATGTTGTCCTCGACACCTGACTTCCGCCCTGACTCACCCTCGTCGTCCTCGTCATCTTGGAACAGTTTTCTTCGCGCACTATGACCTCTCCTTGCCTCTTGCATGTCGACGTTCGGATACTGTATCGTGAGCCGAGCCCTTCACAAATTTTGCAAACTTTAAAAAAACCTCTTCACATAACAAAATGATTAATTGCGCACAGTTTAGCATATGTAGTGCCTTCAGAGATAGAAGTTTGCATTGGCGTAAGCAGGTAGAAACTGGGGTGGCATTGAATTCATGAGGTATTTGGTTGTTCAATATAATTTTCAAATTCCCTGTCCAATTCTATTAGTACTCAAGCTTTAAATTTCTAAAATTCGAAACTTGCAACTTTCTAATTTTTAAAGACCCTGCTCTCAAATGTACAGTTTTCAAATTTCTAAATTTTCAGATTCCCAAATCCCAAATTTCCAATTGTAAAATCCCCAATTCACTCATTTTCCAATTCCTACATTTTCCAATTCCCACATTTCCCAATTCCCACATTTCCCAATTTCCACATTTCCCAATTTCCACATTCCCCAATTCCCATATTTCTTAATTCCCACATTTCCCAATTCCCACATTTCCCAATTCCCACATTTCCTAATTCCCACATTTCCCAATTCCCACATTTCCCAATTCCCACATTCCCCAATTTCCACATTCTCCAATTTCCACATTCCCCAATTTCCACATTTCCCAATTCCCAAATCCCCAATTCCCAAATCCCCAATTCCCAAATCCCCAATTCCTAAACCCCCTAATCCTCAAATCCCCAATTTCCAAATCCCCAATTCCTAAACCCCCTAATCCTCAAATCCCCAAATCTCCAAATCCCCAATTCCCAAATTCCCAAATTCCCAAATCTCCAATTCCCAAGTCCCCAATTCCCAAATCCCCAATTCCCAAATCCCCAATTCCCAAATCCCCAATTCCCAAATCCCCAATTCCCAAATCCCCAACTCCCAAATCTCCAAATTCCCAAATTCCGAAAAGCCACATCTCACATGGGTCATCGACACCATCAACCAGGGTGCTCCCAAGGAAATCCTAGTTACGCCAATGATTCTTTATGGTTTGTAAACAATGTGATATGCTCCGAACGAGTTAATGCAACGCGGAGTGCGCGAGTCTAGTCGAGTGACAGCAAAAGAAAAAGAGAGATAGCGAAAGAGAAACCCGTAGCACTCTCGGCCAATGTGCCGTTGAGCGGATGTATTGGAATGCATATCACTTCCTGCATGAATGTACGGCCGCATACCGGATAATAGTTATTATTCCACGTATAGAGGAGATGAACGTTCGTATTGTCAAATCTTCAATCGCCAATAGTCCTGTAATCTTTCTTTCTTTCGTCGAACTAAATACGACGCTTGTCAAACTTTTGTGATTTCTACCTTTTCAAGCATTGTCTTCACTTTTCGGAACTCTTTGAAATGAACAAAAATTACGGAAATATAACAGTTTTATATTATGAAGAAGTTACAAATGAACATAATAAAATAATGCTTAAAAATGGGATGAAATTTTGAAATAGGAAGAGAGGAGGATATAAATCATGCGATAAATGTAGCGGTTATGTTTGACTAACTTCAAGCTAAACGGTAATCAATTATCGCGCTCGTTATCGCTGTACTTCACTGACCTATACGAGGTTGATTGACTAAAGAAAACATCACGACGACCAATTTCTTCCTCGTAAACTACCGTGCGCGACAACCGAGGAGAAAAGAAGAAAAACACGTGTTTACAAGTGGATCACATAACGGAGACATTGTGATTCTTTTCTGGTAATATAGGTTTGTGTTTTATACAGCTCCAATGAAATTGCAACGACGTCTGGCAAGGCTACTGTACGGTGTTTTCATGATGCAAAAGTTAGCGGTACTAGGTTGTGTCACCACACGATTTGTTTCCTTACGCGATCACAAACTGGTTTCGTATCAGAACTTTCGCTACTATCAAATAAACCTCGAGCTTGCTTAAGCAGCGCTGAATAATTACCAGGGCAGACGAGCAGGTGCTAATTTTCACTTAACATGCGATCCCCACACGATTACAAAGTTGCGGTTCAAAAATAGAGCAGGTGCGAATAACAAAAATAGAGTAAGTGTGAGATCTTTTTAAAATCCAAAGAATTAGGTTAATTATTTTTGGAGTTGCAGTTTTGACGGTCTCGCGTCATACTCAATTCTTAATATTATATTTATTTTATTCTCCCGGTGGATCTTGGTTCGCAACGAGCATGTTAATTCAATTGGACTGTGCGTCAGCCAACCATTTAAAGGCTAATTATTCGCAAACGCTGTCAGTCGTTAAAGCTTCACAAGGTTGCTTCTTTTCGCGAAGTTCGCCTAATCAGCCAGGATAGTAACTGTATAAGTACGAAATCAATTACTAATAACATCATACCCTTATCGAGTACTTGGTACTAAACGTAAGCTACATAAGGTACCAAACTTCACAAAGTAACTAAAAGTCCCAAAATTAGAAGTCTTGCAACTTTTGAATGAAAAGTGTATCTTGTGACGCACAGTCAACGAACCCTATTGCCACATGTTACACGGTATACCATGTTAAATGATATGTACACAAAAAATAGCACTGAACTCTATCACCTTGAGGAGATTCTGAACTAATTCCTCTCGGGAAGAAATGCGGTAGTCACAACGTGTCCAGTGGTCAAGATTCACACTGGCTATCATGCAAACGGGCTAACCGATAGCACTCACATCTTCGGCGTAACCTTCATCGTCCAACTGACTTGATAAGGATATCTCCCCAGATAATTTGCGAATTAAATCGTATCACAGATTATGGCACATTCACGATTGATAATTACGATTCAGTGGAGTTCCATTTTAGCGACGTTGCACTGTCAGCTGGCGAAAACTTGTCTCGAATAGCAACGCGATCGATAGTATAGCATCGTTTTCGTCGGGGGTGTGGACTCGCGGCAAACTACGAGGGGGTATTTTAATGCGCGCGCACACGCGCGCAACCAGAGATACAATGCGCATTCGCACGAGTATCGATATTCGACACTTCGATATTTCAAACGATATTCCATGACCCTGCAATCGTATCTCTGTCCTTATACATAGTTCTACATTTTTACTGTACGCTGCAATTAACCCCTCGGAATTGCTCGAGGCTAGCAGACCTGAAACGAGTTTCACACACGTACTTTGCACGATTAATGCAGGTTAGAAATATCCTTACATGTTTGAATTTTGAAGGAAAGCAAAAGGTGTGGATCAGTAAGATTCACCTGAGCCATCAGATAAAAATTGTAATTGTTCCAATGACCTTCATAATAAGGATATTAATTGTACAATTTATTAATGTAACTTGTGTATACAGTTTCTATCCCACTACATTCGAAAGAGTGTTACGACCTTTGAGTGTTGTGACCTTTGAGCGTAATGACTTGGAGTACACGTGACCAAGCAACAGATGCTTCTTAAAATGTCTCCTTAATTTAATTAAAAGATTAAACTACAATAACTATAATTTACCAGTTACCGATAAGTGTTCCAAAAAATCAAAATAAAGTAGTATTTACATCTCACCTAATGTACCCTTCACCCATTTAACAATGTACTAAGTACCTAAACTCCTAAGTACCTCTTCTAAGTCCCCTTCTAAGTACCTCGTACATGGATACAAATTTTTGACAGAACTTGCAAATTAACCTAATGTATACCTCAGACATGATATATTATTAATCCCCAGAGCTTCTCAAGATTATTAAAAATTATCAAGATTGCAAATATCGAAGATATTTATATGTAAATATTGATCGTTCACCTGTTGCGAAGGATACAATGTCGAGGAATTTTCTCGGCCAACTCACATGAAGAAAATAAAAATAAAAAGCGCAACGACGAACGAGAGAATCGCGTGTTGCAGCTGGTGCAACGTTTACACCGCGACTGGCGGAAAGTCAGAATAGTCACTTGCATCCCAGGTGCAGCTGACTAGCCTAGATTTTGCTTGCAGCCTATTACTTGAGAGCAATGGACGCATGCGCGAATATCCATTAAACGAATGCTTCATTGTACACTCGTTTATCCCAGAGCGTAACACTTGTTGTCATTCCGGTTGATGACATCCGTTCATAGAAAACGCCACGTTCTTCCGCGAATCGATAACGTTCCAGGCAAACGGCAGGAAAAAATGGATTGGGTCTGAATCATCGATATTGAAACTTTCTTATTTTTTACGATATATGCATAGAGTTTTGCATTTTCTGAATTTTTTTTTTTCAAATTAAAAATAAAACAGCTGGTGATGCCGTTTTTACTAAAAAAAATAAAACTTCTGGGTCTCCGTTTTATATTTAAGAGGTATTTCATCAGAGAAAATATGCAATAAATTGAACTGAATGTTTAAATAATTAACTGTGAATTATATAATAATAACTGTGTATGTCTATATACGTTCTGACCGGTTGTCCACAAAATTATCACGAAATGCAAAGGAATTAAAAATTATCTGATATCTGTTTCCAAGGAGCCACCGATTAATCTTTCGATGAATGTAATTCGAAGTTATCAGTGGGCTGACACATCGAATTATTTTCGAACAATAAAACCGATAATTGAAGAGTGATCAATCAATATTTTTAGAACAATAAGAGGTTATCTGGAGGATATATATTTGACAAAGAGAAAAACTGAAATGTTACCGTGAGAGTTGTATCTAGAACGACGGGAAATGGAATGTTCGGAAATTCTCACATAGGTACTTTCCGGAGAATTCTTGCGGTGGTAAAAAAGAGTTGCAGTCGAGAACAAGCTCCTCCTAGCATCCTCTTTGTATTTGATTTCTTACTTCGCTCTTTCCTGATTTAATTTCATCTTCACGTTTTATAGGGCAAGATTCTCGCACCTTTTTAACACACGCGTATTTTTTATTTAAAAAAAAGTCATTGATAATTATGTTGACTAGAAGAGGGTTAACTTGTAAACGAGCCAACTTTCAGTCCAAGAAATCTAAGCCCGTAGAAAAATTCTTGATCAATCTATACATGGAAGTTGAGCATTTGGAAAGCGTCCAGGTTAAAGTTTGCAATGTTCACAATGTGTAGCTAAACGTTTGGTGCGTGTGATCGGCATGAACATGTCTCGCTTCACGAGCGAGCCTGATTAATATTAACGCTAGAGTATCGAACCGTTACTAACCAAAAAAAGAAGAACAACTGTAAACGCATATTTCTTTTTCGCACTAAGCCTCGAAACTCCCGTTCGAATTAGTTCCAACTGGATAACTATTTGTTTCCTCCGTCGCTTTCGCCCTTGAAAATTTCGCAATCGAGGTATATGGTCCAAGGTTATTGAAAGCGTATGAACTATGTAAAATAGATGTACTGTTATAATACATTTTGAAGAGATGTAGCGACTTGTATCAATAAAGTCAAGATAAATAGATTAATTTGGGGGGTTGTCACTTGGTTCAAATTTTAATCTTATGAATTCTCAAATTTTCAAATGTCAAAGTTTGGAATTTCTGAATATTAAATTGCTGAGGTTCGAAACATTAAAATTTGCAAGTTCTTATATTTCCAGAATTCTGAAACTACACCCCCCAAATTTCTACATCTCCAAATTTTTGCACCTCCAAATTTATACACCCCCAAATTTCTATATTCCCAAATTCCTACATCCCCAAATTTCCACATTCCCAAATTTCCACACCTCCGAATTTCTACACCCCTATATTTCCACACCCCCAAATTTCCATACCCCCAAGTTCCCACACCCCCAAATTTCTACATATCCAAATTTCCACACCCCCAAATTCCCATTCCCCCAAGTTCCCACACCCCTGAATTTCTACATATCCAAATTTCCACACTCCCAAATTCCCATACCCCCAAGTTTCCACATCCCCAAATTTCTACATATCCAAATTTCCACACCCCTAAATTTCCACACCCCCAAATTCCCATTCCCCCAAGTTCCCACACCCCCAAATTTCTACACATCCAAATTTCCACACCCCCAAATTCCCATACCCCCAAGTTCCCACACCCCCAAATGTCTACATATCCAAATTTCCACACACCCCAATTCCCATATCCCCAAGTTCCCACACCCCCAAATTTCTACATATGCAAATTTCCACACCCCCAAATTCCCACACCCCCAAATTTCCACACCTCCAAATTTCTACACCCCAAAATTTCTACATCTCCAAATTTCCACACCCCCAAGTTCCCACACCCCTAAATTCCTACACCCCTAAATTTCCACACACCCAAATTTCCACTCCTCCGAATTTCTACACCCCCCAAATTCCAAACTTTCCACTTCCTCAAACCCCCAAATCGTGAGAAAATAATATTCACAATTTTGCAGTGTCTGATGAATTATTTTTTAGAATAGGGTAAGAAGGTTAACGAGTGAGATACGGTTCCGTGACTGCATAGAGATTATTTATACAGTACAAATACATTGTGCGGATATCAAAATCGCATTTACCTTGAACAAGTCCTTAACTCGGTTCGTTATCTCAGTCGTATTAATTGCATAGCTTTTTCAGTATCGTTCGAGTGTATCGTGTCTTATCGTCAGTCCATTTTAACCTTGTTTAATATTATCAAACAGTGGATTCCGTTTAATATTTGAGTGGTCACCGTGTTGACGTCGAAACGATGTTGCTTATCCGAACATGCAACGCGTTTATCTTGCGGACTAAAGTCGCTTCGAACAGAATTGACGTATCGATGACAATCGTTTAATTCACGGTTATCGATTATCGCGATAAATTTTTATGAGATCGAGTGCAGTTAATGGAATTATACATCGAGTGATCATATCTTTATTATTTCAAAGAAATGTTTTTCATTTTGAAATGTACTTTGTAACAAATTATATAAAAATTCTGAACTTGTATTATCCATCATTTGCATCGTTCGTTATTGATTTATAAAGCGTTACGAAAAAATTCAGGAAGAATAAAAGGAATTGTATGGCGTTCATGAATGGAATGCATATTCATTCATTCCTCGAGAGCAATCGCCGATGCACGTGTAAATTTCGACATATGCTAAAATCTTCCGTGCCAACTGTCGCTTCCTGCGTGTATCCACGGACCTTGAAATATATTCTCGCGAAAAGAAATCACCTCGGTCACGCTTCGTTCGACCAGGAAACTCGTATTAAAGAAAGTGGCCCGTAAATATAGGAATGAAAGAAAGGGATGTCTTCCCGGTTCTTATATTGCGACCAGGGGTTGACATTCTGAATTTCCTGTGTTTTAACGGAATCAGTTAATAGAATTTTAATTACTTTTATTATTACTTGGGGACGGTTGATTTAATGACTCGAAGAGATTCGGATTTTGGGGTTAGTCCGTTGCGAGTTGATTTAATTTGTTACAATTTGGGGATTTGGAAAAGTGGACATTTAAGAATTTGAAGATTTGATAATTTGAAAATTTACAAAGTGGGGGGATAGAGAATTTAAGTATGTACTAAGAAAGTCTGTTGCGAGTTGATTTAATTTGTTACAATTTGGGGATTTGGAAATGTGGACATTTAAGAATTTGAAGATTTGATAATTTGAAAATTTACAAAGTGGAGGGATAGAGAATTTAAGTATGTACTAAGAAATTAAAAATTGGGCAATTTCAAAATTTTAGCATTGCAGAATTTTTACATCAAAAAACTTGATGTAAAGATGTCTTCTAGACATCCATTATGTGACACTATACGCATGACAATATTAAAATCCCTTTCCCCAAATCCTACAATAAAATACCACAAAGTTTCATTCAAATCCTTTTTTCCTCGAGTTCCACGTATCAGCACAGATTTCCCTTTTTCAATCATCGTTATTCTTTTTTCGTGAGGCGTCTGTCCTCGGTTTCTATAAATGTCCCGCCCTAACACGATGTCGAGG